TTCAATACGAACGTTTGTTTCTTGAAAATTTGATCACGATTTAAATACAGTATTTACTTTTAATATTACCGATATGTCATCGAAAAGAAAACGTGTTATATTATCATTAAAAGACAAATTAAAGTATTTGTTTCGATTATCCGGATTTTTCCTTATCCGGACTACCTTCATCCCCAATTAGTCCGGATAATCGAGGTTCTACTGTATAAATTACGTTTACAGATTTCATTTTATTTATGTTTAATTATGGGTTTTCTTGTATTAAAAGTTAATTTGAACGTTTAAATATTCATGTGTTATGCTATCACAATTATCTTAGTTAATATAATAATTATTGTATTAATGTTATCAGTGTTGACCTATTATTACAAAGTTAATAATAACTTTCTTAAAGAGCTCAGTTTGATCTCGAGCAGATATTCCTTAAAGGCTGTAGAAATCAATAAATATTAATGCAACTTTATTAACTCATTTGACACACTTGTATTTTATCAGATTGAAAAATAGGTTATTTACTATTTAGAGAAATAAACTTAAGGTAAATATAGATATTTTATATGATTTCATCTTGTAGTAAAATAGGCAAACATTTCTAGATACAATCTAATAAATAATAGTTCAAAATTTATTTATTAAATTTTATAAAATTTTGAATTACAATTAAAAAAAGTAAGTTATACGATAAAAGATAAAATAAGCAAAGAATAATTCTTCTTAAGAATGTAATGTTGCTGAGCAGGTTTATAATAATAATGACTGACATTTTCAAGAAAAGCGTTAACATACATTAAATATACCAAAAGTAAATTATTACAAAAAATCCTCGTTAGTTCGAAATTCAAGGGACGAAACAATCGAGTTTCGAATTATTAGAGATTTACATATTTCTGTACAATATGCCAAATGGCATGTAATTTATCAAGGAAACGGAATACGGCTACATATGCAGAATGCTATTTTCGTTAATTAATAGTAATAATAATAATATGAATAAACTGCAGCTAAACGGCAGGTTACCAGATAGGTTTTCTAAAAAGTAAAGCAGAATTCCTTGAAATATAGCCTAAATTATTTTAAAGTGGTCCAAAAAGTTGTAAGTCGCCCAAGTGCAATAGACTAGAGCCTACAAATACTGCATCTCAATTTGCCACTTGTAGCCCAATCATGCAATCCCGAAAACTAGCTGTATTTTGTGAGATAAGAGAAGATGACACTCGAAAATGAGTTAATGTAAAAGCAAAGCCATATTGACCATATTAGAGTTCTTCTTAGTCTATCGTTTTCTTATAGCACGGAGGCACTTTGACCTAAACGTACGAGTTACATACTCATAACAGTACAAATAACCCTCATATAATGCGGTAGTTAGGTCCTACCAAAGCGTCGCGTTATAAAAATCGGTTTTTGCGAGACTCAAATTACATATAAAAAGTAGGCTTACGTTCCAAACGATTTTTTAATTATAAATTTTATCTGTCACATAAGAAAATAACAGGCTTATTTAATACAGAAAATTTCATTTAACAATACATGAATTACAAAACAAAAACAAACTTCGATTTGATCACTAAGGATGATATGCAATTATGTTTTTAACTAACTTGTTCACACTAATTATCCAATTAAAAGCTATTTTCAAGAACACAATTGAAAAAGAAAACGAAAATTACAAGGAACATACAGCTTACACACGAAATGCCAAAGGGATATTTTTAGTATATAAAATTACATCTTGTTAGCACATAATAGTATTTTACATGCCAATTTTCTAACAAGATTGCCAAGAAAAATAAAAATCTTTCATCATTACAGAGAAAAGCTTTCGATATATAGAAGAAAATTGCACAATCTACGAACGATATTGGAAAAATAAAAGAACATTTACTAGAATAAGATAAACAGATGATTTCATCTTATATCGAAATCGCGTTGTGTAAGTACCTGTATTACACAAAGGTTACCTGTAATGTTTTCTTGAATATTTTATGTTTCATCTAATTGATTTTGTACTATATTTAAATTTATCTTAATTTTTTAGGTCTCTCATTCTGTTCGAACATCAGATCTCCAAAATGTATAATGGCCATTACATTAATAAATAATAAAAAGCAATAAATTGCGTAAAAATAAAGCGATCATTCAGTAAAATGTTTTAATTATTTTTCTTATAATTTTTTCAGTAATATTTAAGTTATTTTTAATTATAAACACAACTGAGCGAAATATCTCGAATTTAATTTGCATCAATAACATTAATAATTACACGACTAATGATACAAATTAGTTACATTTTTTTGTAATATTTTTATTATTACAAAAAAATTCATTTGATACGAAATTAACTTCAGATAATAAACTAAATAATAAAAATATTTTTCGTGTTTTATGCATCTATTCGCATGAAAAAATGTTTAATTCATCATTTTAATATCTTAATTGAATTTGTTTCGAGTGACATTGGAGCACAATAGACTACACGGCGACTTCTTTCTCCTGTTTTTGACGGATCTGATCCTACAAATGGGATATGGACGAAGGTTGGAGAACTGTCTCGTGCCTAAATAACTGACTTCCCATGAAAAATTACAAAGTCTAAATTGGTGGCTGGGGAGATCCGCCCATCAATGGAGGAATGGATAAATCACTGAACATTGGTCAAGTGCAAAGCCGGGATGTCAGGCTTTGCACTTGACCGACGGGCTGGTCGCTTGGGGTTTTCTTCACGTATCTATCAATAATATCTAATTAGGAGCCAGTTTTCCGTAAACAGTCCTCCCTGAAGACATCCTCTTGGAAAGTCGCTCTTGTTGCGTTTGCCTTATTGCGTTAGTGCAATCCAATTCTATGAAGATCCCTCAAGACAATAAAAATATCACTTTAAATTACCATCTTCTTTAATTTATTACATTGTATTTTTAGATAATGAAAGAATTATTACCTTAGATTATTGATCTTATTTTATTTACTTCGTAATAAACAGGTTTATAATTTAATGCTGTTTTTTCATTTTCTTTAAATCCAAGAAAATGAGAAAATTTGAAATTTAATTTAATTTAATAATGACTTCAAATTTTTATTATACTTGCAAGAAATTAAAAGAATCTGTAGAAATAATTAAAATGCAAGTCTATATTCTAAGTATAAATATCTATGTAATTATCCTTTCCATTAAAATAACCGAGAAATGTAAAATTCTCTTATTAGATTTCACAATCTTAATAAGTTATGTCTTTTTAAGCATTTCTTCCATTGTTTTGTTAATACAGATATGGGAATTTTGCTTTAAATGCCCATTGTTGACGTATTGTTTTGTGTTACACGTTTTACGTATACATATTTATCTATGTATATATATGCATGTATATATAGGCTTATATATGTATTATACACATACTTATTATTTAAATTTAAGCTAACCTTGATAACCTCAATATATAATTTGCCAGTTCCTTTATTAAAAACAAATTGTAACCTTTCTTAGAATTTAATTATTCGTATTATGCAATATGAATGAAAATCTTTCAATTATAGTCTGCTCTTCCTGTCGTAAATTTACGACTAATCTGTATGTTATAAAACTTAATTCATTCAAAAAGTAAATTAGAATAATATAAATTTTAATTAATACGTCTGTCTATTCATAAATACAATAATGCTGCACTAAAAATTTAATTCATGCTATAAATATGAGTATCAGTCTATAATTTAACCTCAATTGTGTAGTGATATTATTGTATAAGTTTAATTTATAACTTCATTTCTTTGGATAGTAGTTTTTTTTTCTAATTGAGCATCGCCATAAAATTTATTTAATTCTATTATACTTTAAGTTTCTCTCAAGATTTGGCCATATGAAAATACATATAAATTAACAAGCTATTAATAATTAATTATTAGGATAATATTATATATATTCTGAAAATGTTTAGAATTATACATAATTGTTCTTTATTTTACTTCTTTTTAAAAGTGTAGTTCATTTAATTGTAATTTTTACAATAATTAAAATTACGTTTATAAATATTCACATTTATGATGTAAATCAAAAAATCTTTAAAACCAATTTAAAATTTTTATAATTAAACTATAATTAAGTGTATATTCAAGTACTAAGAGCATCTTTTTCATAAAACTTTCCTCTCAGAAAATGTTTTATTTACGAGCTAAATTCCGAAAATCGTAAAAGTTGTTTATTACTAAAACTCCATCTAAGTACTTTTACATTTATTTCATTTAATGAATAATGTATATTTTTATTTATAAATATATCTTTTGGTAATTTTGTAAAGGTCAGAATTATAAGATAGAAATTTTCGTTTCCAGAATGGGATCTTCCGCATCCCGAGCCAGTCACGACGTTCATTAAATTTCTCTAGATATATACAGTAACTGTACAAGTTTACATAACATTTCCTTCAAAGTTTTACGATAAGATTTTCTGATACTTGCAAATGAATTTTTTTTTCGAATACAACTGTAGATTTTACGTTGTAACGTCATTACTTTAGTATTTATTTTTATTATTTAAAATCGTTCTCTTTATTTCTATTCACAATTTATTATTGTAGTGTTGTTTCTAATTATCATAATTACGCTTAAATTCCAAGTTTTTTTCTATGTTATAATTACCGATCAGATCAACAATTACATTATTTATAGTTAAAATATTTATTTGTTTCTCTCTTTTTTAAACAGCATTTTCTTCTCGAAGGTTATTGTTACACCATCCTCATTATTATATAATCTTTAACAAATATTACATAATTTTTAATTAAATAATACAACATTTTCTTTCGGTTATTTTTATTTTCCTACTGATAAAAAATTGAAAATATCGTTTTCATTAATATTGCCTATACTCAATGTTAAAAAGCGAAATGACGACAAAACTAACAAATTTTTTAACGTTTTTACATTGATGATTTGAATTCTTTCAGTGTAAATACGAAAAAGTTCGTCACTCTACTTAATATTTGGATAACGATAAATTATTTTCTAAGATTTTTACATTAGAAAATCAATAAAACAAATTGCTTACGTACTGTACATTATATCTGAACACTTTAAATATTTTTTCTTAGTAAAACTTCTTAGCGCTTGATTCATTAATGCATATAATATTAATCAAATCTAGCGGTTTGAACATTCAGTTACTACCTTAAATTTTCTTGCTTCATTTATTTTGATAATAGCGTACAGTAAAACCTGTTTAAAACGGAAAAATATATTAGGTTTACACAGGTTTTACTGTATATAAGTTCATTTTTCAAGGTTATATTTAAAATTTTATTTATCCAGCTCGAGGATTAAATTTTTTTAATTGTATATTTTTATAACATATATATTTATTTATTTATTTAAGACAAAAACATACAAACGTAACAGAATTTATTGTTGAAATATTCTCCACTAGAACTATATAATCATGAGATAATGGAATAATATATCGTAACTATTTGACCTATAATGGAATTAAAATAAGGTTAAAATGAATTACTCTGGAAGTGGTTAGATATAAATATGAAATTTCTCCCTATATAATTAATATGACTAACTTCTAGTAAATTATGTAATGCGGCATTAATTTAATTTATTATGACTAATATAATTAATTTCGGAGATTACAGTCACACTATAATAAATATTGAGTTAAGGATTACTTATATTTATCTTCTTTTCGATCTATCGATCTTGTTTATAGTCTCAGTTAAATAATTGTGACCTTAATATGAATAATAATTCCAAATTTTTAATATTATTTTTCTTTGTAAAGGTAATATATACTCAAATTCTTATTGTTCAGTAGAAATAGATTTGAAATATTTTATTAAAAATAAATAAAATCTTAATTTACTTTTAATTAGCAGCAGGTGATAAAATAATGAAATGAATAACATTGAGTAATATTATGTATAAGTACAATACTCCATAGTATATCAATTATCGCTTGTATACGAAAAATAAACAAATTTTTATTTAATTAAACTTTTAAAATTATTTATATAATATTTGATGTAATTTCATCGCCCTGTATGTTCTTAAGAACGAGAATCTTATTAAAATTTTATTATTTTTATTCATCTTAATTTATTCAGCGAATAAAATCTGGTTCTTTTAATTCTAATTGAGCTATTAAAATCTTCTCGTTTCTACAAGTTTCAAGGATATCCAGGCCTTACATCACATTCTAGATTAGATACAAGGAAAACCATTTTTTTCAATAACTATAAACCATTATAAATAATATCACTTCCGTAATAATTCATTTAAACCTTTGTATTTTAATTATAAAAACCTTGAATTTACCTCATCCCGCAATCGAAATTAATCGACAACAATTCGATACAATAATATTTATTTTTAATTACAAAATAATAAAAATTATTGTACAGAAATTCGTATAAGAAAACTTATACAAAGAAACACTTGATGTATAAAATAAAAAAAGCATTTCTTCAATTTATAATATAAAATATTCGAATTATATAGATTCTATTTATATATACAATATATAGATTACATTTTATTGTATATTATATCATTTAATATAATCTATGTACACATAAAATGTATAGAGGCAGATTTCTGTATAAAATACAGTACGCTTTTAAAATATTTAGGGTAAAAATAAAATAAATTTTTAAATATTCTACTTCATCCTAAATATTTTAGAAATAAAAACAGCTTTAAAATCTGATTTTTTCGCTTCTCCATTTTTGATATTCGTTGTTCAAATCGCAAAAAAGAGATTTCTTTCTCCTACTCTGGATCCACCTCCTGTAGATTATATTATATTATATTATATATACAATATCTATATTCCTACAACAGAATATTTATATCATTTGTTGTGCACTCTCCTCATTTTCTGCTTCTTCTAATGATATAGGGGGTTGATTTAATTCGTTAGAGTTCGAACACTTTTTAACGAAAGGTATGATGGATGATAAAATTGCCGCCATAATAAGCATTCCGCCAGCAGCGAAAAATGGAAAAGTATAACTTCCGGTTATGTCATATATAGAACCTGAAAGTTGATTTGTTTTATTATTAAAAATATATATATATTTTTTAAACATAGTTGAAGAAGATAAGAGTTGAACAACGTACCTGCAACAGGTGATCCTATAATGGATGCTGTTCCTCTGAATAAACTCAGCAGCCCAAAAGCGTTTGTCAAACGATCCAATCCTACTAAATCTACTAAAATAATCGAGGTCAGGCACATGTAAGCCGCTGAAAAAGTAGAAATAGTTTAAACTTCGTTAAAATTTTTAGCAAATAAGTTGAAATTTTAGTAGGTTTTAACAATTTACAAATAATAATAACTGCTAAATAGGAAAAAAATAATACGAAACACGACAATTTTACGGGAGAACGTAAGCAAAATTCATGACATTTTACAGCTTCGATTTCATTTTGCCTTTGTTCACATCAGTAGTAAACAGAGACTTGGCAATGGATAAGATAAACACAAGTTTTGCCAACTTATTTCTGTTTTACGATTTTTCCGGAATCTGTTTCTTATATTTAAGATTGACTCACAACTTAAATCTTTTAAATGACGTATTTTTATATGAAAATTTCAAATAATAATTTTTTTAAATCTAGATTTGAAGAATTGGCATATTACTATTTTTTTCGTATCCCGAGCAATAAAAATAAATTAGTTTGGTCGTTTTAATGTTGAAGCAATTGACTTTATCTGACAACAAGGTCAAGTGGTATAAATTTCAAACGTTTTATGAATAACGTATCACCTGATTCATTCTGAATTTGTAAGCAGATTTTTTTATCTTTCGTTTCCGTGTGGCGCTATTACAACGATAGAAAATCGGATTTTAAATATTAATTAATGAAATGAGGATATGTTATTTCGTAATGAAGTGTAAAGAATAATGAATGCTACGGATGATTATCGCCTAATTGCAGTGTGGCCATCACATGATAAATAGTCTCTAAAGATTACTTCAGAAGTCAAGGTTGATTAAAATAAATTGTATTTTTTTCCTTATTAAAGAAATCTTGCCTAGTGTAATAGAGTATCGCTTTTTCATTGGACAAAACATAAATTTATCAGATAAATAGTGCATCAATATATTTTAAACACATATATCGAACATAAAAATTAAGTTTACTTACATATAAATACTGCAAAAAGAGTGCAGACTATGAGTACAGTCGTGTAAGTTAAGGTGAATGGTATGCATAAAACGCATATTCCACTTAGAAGAAGACAAACGTTGTTTACCCACAAGGAGGATACTCGTGGACGATCAGCAAACCACCCAAAAACCATCCTCCCTAGTGTGTTTGTGATGCCGATAATGGAAAGAATAAATGCGGCATCGGATCTAGGTATTCCTTTCAAAGTACTACTGTCTGTTATATACACGAATGGAATGTAGAAACCCATCATGCCGAATATATTGGAAATGCATAAAAGCATGAAAGAACAATCTTTCAAGAGGGAAAAATTAAGCATTTCCTTTAAGGCAACCGTTATGGCTGGAGAAACGCAAGAACTTTCTTCTTCCTCTCCATCTGTCTTCGGTAACGATGTGACACTGGCTACGTAAGTTCTTATATCTTTCTGCGACTGATTATATTGAGCCAAACTGGTGATACTTCCGCTATAAAATATATCTTTTCTGTATATGGGACGATAATATTCTCGTCTGTACGTATGTTTATGTACATCTATAGAAACTCTTCTTCGCGATATTCTTCTCGATTGATAATCTCCTATAACCGAATTGTTTCGATTAGACAGAGGAATATTACTTATGCTGGAAGTTGATTCCATCGGAAGCTGCAAATTCCGTCGAGAAATTTCGCGTACGGTCGAAGGCGAAATTGGTTTGTGGTTCATATCGGGATGAACTATAACTAGGTTCGATTTCAATTGTAAAAGACTTAATTTTCTTGTTCCGTTTTTCCCTTCACAACCGGGTTTTAAAGTTTCTCCGATACTAGAAAGCGTTATAAAGGGCATTCTCGTAGTTTTATTCATCTGGTCCAGATCTTGTCTCGATTGAACTCCGGGTTCTGTATTAAATTCTTTTGTCTCTAGTGTTCCATCATCGTGTTGAATGAGATCAAACTTGCTCTCTCTCTTTTCTGTAGTAGTGCTTATTGTCTTCTGATCGTCAGCAGATTCCAATGGGCGCATTAATGCTCCGAATACCATGCAATTTAGCGTCAATCCAGACAATATCAAGAGAGAGCCTTTCCAGTCGTAAATGGATAACAGGGCTTGACAGATAGGTGCAAAGACAAAGGCACCCATTCCAGAACCACATACTGCTATACCTGTGGCAAATGCCCTCTTAGTAGAAAAGTAGTAACTGACGCTTACGATGGCCGGAAGATATATCAAACCAAATCCAATCCCTATTAAAGATAATAGAAATAAATAAGTAACTGTCAGCATATGTGAAGAATATATTTTACATTTTGATACATGTTTCTTGTCCTTAGTTACTTATATAATATGCCTTTGATCAGTTTGGTTTTTCTTGTGAACTAGGACTTGTTATACCCAGGGAAGAGAATCACACAATTTCAAATTAAAATACTTTAATGTAACATAATTCTGCACACAAGAAAGTCCAAAGTGGACAAAGGCATAAAATATATTTTACAATATTAAACCGAAGGAGGTTACTGAGATATAAAGTGTTAAATACAAGCTGATTAGCATTATACTTTTTTGATTAATAAGCTGTTTAGATCAAAACTATTTTGTCAACTCTAAATAAATATTTATAATGATAAAAATATTAATGTATTTATGTTAATTGAAAGATTAAGTATAAATTATATTTTCACATTAAAATCCATCTGTGTGATTTACTATTAGAAAAATATAAAAGTGCTCATTTAGTTATGAAACTTTTTTGCGTATCTTATGTTTTGTTTCTTACTTCCTTTCGAAAATTATCAGCGAAACATCAAAGTCCAGGTTGACTTTGATTCATAAAATATCAACAAGTCATCAATTAACAAGAAAATTAATCTTTTAAATAACGTGGATCCCTCCTTTGGCAAAATATCAATAATTTACAACGTAGAAAGGTTAAGAGTTACATTATAAACTCTAACTCACCTCCCATGATTCCATAAGTCAACATTAAGACATCGACAGATGGTGCAAAGGTACTCAATATAAAAGCGATGCTTGCCACAATACTACCCGCAATGGTCACTGATCTGCAGCCAAATCTGTTAGTTAAAGCGCTTACAACCGGACCTGAAATTTTTGAAAATTTTGAAATTAAAATTCAGAAAAGTGGACATAAAATTAAAACCGCGAAGAACGTTTCAACAAGTGATTAAGATTAACCTACCCGCACTCAAGTAACATCCACTAAGTAGAGAGCCAATCCAAGCCGTACGGCCCTTTGGAGCGCGGTAATATTGAACAAATTCCATAAAAAATATGCCAAACGAGTAACTGATACCATCCACCACCATGTTACACAAAAACGAGACAGCCACAATGACCCATCCCCATCCACCATCCGGTGGTTCGGGAATATCCCACGATTCATCGTCTTGGTTTTCTTTTGTATCTTCTTTAGACATGAGCAAAGTAGCACTCACCTAAAGAAAGTAAAAAATATTTTGATGCGAACAACGTTAATGCGTGTTACTTTCAGATAACATTCTGAATCGACATGTGATCGACAAATACCATTTATCAATCATCTACTACAAGTTGTCAGCAGATAGGCCGAGATACTCGGAGAGCCTTCCTGTTCGATTTTCTGACCAACATATTACTACAGATCTATGCAATTTACAAATAATAAACCGGATTAAAGTGGTTTAGCATGCGTGAATTTCGTAATTTATACACCAGTCATATGCTAATCTTAAAAATATTCTGTCTACTGTTGACGAACTTTCAATCTTTTATCGTAACCAAGTATCAATCAAGGCCATCAGAAGTAGAAAAAGGTCGACTCCTCAATCTAAACAATCAATATTTAAAAAAAAAATCTGTTAATTTAAAAAACAGGAGCATTGTATAATTAAAAAGAAAGACAATTTGCAATCTAAATCTTCCGCCATTTTTTTTCTTTACCATCTCCGAATATTGTCAGGAACTCGTATTGTTTGTATTAAAAGTTCACGACCTGTCACACGAATTAAATATTTGATGGATGTTTTCCTCTAGTAGCAAATTTGTAAGTATTGTTAATGATGATTAAACAACTTAATTGACGTCATTAGTCAGGCTTGCGTCATTCAAACTTGATCCTTAAACTGGATATTTAATTTATCAATTTTTCAGTTTCTAAAATCTCGGGAGGAACGGATCATTTTTCGGAAGTGGAATTTTTATTTACTTTTATCAAACAACAATCGCTTCAATTGGATAATGTAAAATTTAAGAGGATGTTCTTTGTCAGTTTTAATTCTATTAAGCGGGAGGATCTAAACTTAAGAATTTCAAACTTTTTTTTAAAATTTATTCATCTTTTTTACATTAATTTTTTTAATAAGGAAAAAATAAAGTTTAAATTGTAAATTCTAGAAACGTAAACCTTATATAAAACACATGGTAAATTGTGAAACGTCTTTTATCTTTAAAACCGTATCTAATGTATAAATGACCCTAATATGACCAAGTGCCCTCAGGTTAAGTCTTTCTTCATCCTCGACCTTCTAACTTAACGATATTAGAAATCGATAGCAATGTTTTAATTTAATTTTTAAATCATCAACTACGACAATAGCGCAGAATCTATATCATCATTTGAATAACATTATAGAGTTACACAGGAATAATCTAAGCGCAGAGACACTGTTGCGAGGGCAAAATAACTTTCCGAATTTATTCATTAAAGTTTCAAGAAATATTTTTCTTTAAATCTTTCAATAATACTTCTAATCGATTTAGTGAATGAGGATATGTTTATTTGATCTGTCAACTGCTCCTCTAAGAAGTAAACTCTACGAAAAATTAATTTATAAAAGTTGCAAATTCGCAGCGCTTCAATTAAAATAAATGTCTCTTAAAAATATACATAAACTTTTAAAATACTTTAAATTTTAATGGTTAAAAAAATATTTTTAATTTTAATATAAATAAATATATTAAATTTAATTTTCTATTGTTTAATTCTATTTAAAAATTGAAGAAAATTAAATGGCCAGCGTTATGAAGAAAAATGATTAAGTGCGTAAAAAATTAATTATAATGGTTAAATAATAGGATAGCACGTAAAAGCATACTTACTTTTTAGAGTCTGTTTTCATTAAGAGTAAACAAGTGATGCGGATAACACGCCAGTTTGTATCTCCTTCCTCCGTATATCATCGAACGCCATCTGACGATTGTTATCCGAATTTCGTTCATTGAGAGAAACATTGGCAAAGTTTCAAAATATTATTATTGTAGAATTTAAATAGAAAAATAAAATTTTCTTTCCATCATAGTATAAATATTAAAAAAAAAATTTATATATTTTGCAATTCTCTTTTAAAATATGCACAATTTTAACTACAGAATTAAACTTTCCTCTGTTTATCATTATTATATCTCTGAGAAACTTGGATTTTACAAATACGTAACGTGTTAATCATCACTTCCATTATTATTGTAATTATTTTTTAATATCAAAAACAATTTACTATCTCTATTGCCGACCCTGACTTTATTTTCAATGGTTAACCTACTTGATGAGATTTAGAACATCACGAAAAAAATAGAATTTTATAGCTCCCTGCAACCTGATTTACGTAGAAATGTATGTACATATATTTTTTTTCCCCTAGATTTTAATTTTCTGTTGTTGATAAATTCTGTTTGTTAATGTGTGTTTTATGTTTGAACTCATTTTTCCATTCTGTTTATTTGATAATCTAAAATAGGAATGTTATTTTAAGTGGGGAGTTATTTAATGAGAATTAAATTATTTTATATTGTGTAAAAGATGCGAATATATTGAAAGTTGATTTGTTTTATTATTAAAAATATATAGTAATTTTCAAACGTTTTAAACATCTACAGTAAAAATTAAAAATAAATAAAATAAATATAAATTATTATGATAAAAATGCGTTTTTATTATAAATATCTGTCGTAGATAACAATTATCTACAATACATTTTCACAAATTTTATAGAAAGTAAATTGTAATTTTAAGTTTCTAGATTTACACTTTAAAATCAACATTGTACATGGGGATCTCTAATTCAATTTTGCCTGGGACACATGAAGTTGTAACGCGCTACTGATATTATCTGTACTGTACTATACGTAAAATTATAAAAAACTTAAATTTAAGTATTTAACNTTTTTAGTTATTACTATTTTCTTATTTGGAGGCTTTTTGTGTTTTAAGAATGGAAACTCCCAAAACAAAAAAAGAAAAAAAAAACTAAATTAAAAATTTAACCACCAAAAGTAGCAGTTTTCAGTAAACTTAGCAATTCTCCAATGGATCCAAAACAAACTACATCTTGTCTAACCGTAAATGTGTCAAAATCAACAATATACATAGTTATGAAATCATCTAATCATCTGCAAAATAAAAAAATGAAACAAATTCTGCCTCTAAATATGAGCCACAAAGAGAAGCCTTTGGCATGGGCTAAACATCACATGATGTAAACTGAGAAATGGCAAGAAGTTATTGGTAAGATATTAAGAAATATAAATTAATTTACTCAAAGCAGCAGCAAGAGGCTGGAAGTGTTATGATGTAGTGTGCATTTGAATGGAGAAGTATGGCAAATCTAGCTTTCATTCCTGGTCACATTTATATTGTAGGATGTCAGCAAGTACTAGATACGCATCTAATGCCATTTTCAGAAAAACCTGAAAGTAAATTTTTTCAATTTCATCAAGATAATGGAGCCATTCATAATGTAGAATCAACTTGGCACAAAATCACAGATGAGGAGAGGAAAGTCTTATTAAAACANTTAACAATTTATGGAAGTGGACTATATTAATATAATAATAATAATTATTATTATAATACAAAGAAACAATAGTGCACAATATGTTACAAAAATTAAAAAGTTACATTCTGTACATATTATAATACATTATTAAAAACGTTATCGTTTGTATATTTCTAATGAGAATTCTCGACTCGTTCGTAACCATACCAATATAACAAAATAATTTGCATTCTATTCACTTTGTCAATTTCCCAGTACGATTATAGAATGCAAATTTTTTGGGTGCCTTGACTGCCACATGTATTAGTCTGGTCACTTTTTACACTCGTCCATACAGTTACTGCTTAGACTGAGATTTCCCACACTCCCCGACGACGACACTCTGTCTTCTCCTAGACTTGTGTCGGAGCAATTTTGACTGATGCTACCGTTTGGGGAGACCGTGCGAGAATTGCTCGAGTAGTTGTTACAGTGATCAACTGCGACACCTGAAATAAACACACAAATCAGTGATCTGAATAAATTTTGGGAATAAAAACTGTGAAAATTTTGTTACCCGATGTTCCCGCTTGAGAATCTCCTTGACACTGTACATTTTGTTGATGATCACAGTTTGTTTCTGTAGTTTGGTTTGGCATCTGAGGTTGCAGAGATGCAATTGTCTCTGGCCAAAATCTCTGTACAGGTCGTGTCGACTGAGATTTATTTTTCTTTGTTTTGTGACTTGTTTCTGGATTGCTAGCATCCAGCATGGGCTGTAATATTCTTCTTCTAGCATTGATAAACCTATTATTTTAATATTATAAATTGCATTAATTAAAAGTATTTAATATTCAAGAAATAATTAATATTTAAAACATTTTATACCAGTTATTCACTTGTAGTAATGTTAAGTTAGTTTGTGCGGCTATCTGGCGTTTTTCGTCTTCTGTAGGATAAGGATGCTGAGGAATAAAAAATTAACAATTAATTTATTTTTTAATGGTTATTCACTTGTAGTAATGTTAAGTTAGTTTGTNATTTATTTCATTTAATGAATAATGTATATTTTTATTTATAAATATATCTTTTGGTAATTTTGTAAAGGTCAGAATTATAAGATAGAAATTTTCGTTTCCAGAATGGGATCTTCCGCATCCCGAGCCAGTCACGACGTTCATTAAATTTCTCTAGATATATACAGTAACTGTACAAGTTTACATAACATTTCCTTCAAAGTTTTACGATAAGATTTTCTGATACTTGCAAACGAATTTTTTTTTTCGAATACAACTGTAGATTTTACGTTGTAACGTCATTACTTTAGTATTTATTTTTATTATTTAAAATCGTTCTCTTTATTTCTATTCACAATTTATTATTGTAGTGTTGTTTCTAATTATCATAATTACGCTTAAATTCCAAGTTTTTTTCTATGTTATAATTACCGATCAGATCAACAATTACATTATTTATAGTTAAAATATTTATTTGTTTCTCTCTTTTTTAAACAGCATTTTCTTCTCGAAGGTTATTGTTACACCATCCTCATTATTATATAATCTTTAACAAATATTACATAATTTTTAATTAAATAATACAACATTTTCTTTCGGTTATTTTTATTTTCCTACTGATAAAAAATTGAAAATATCGTTTTCATTAATATTGCCTATACTCAATGTTAAAAAGCGAAATGACGACAAAACTAACAAATTTTTTAACGTTTTTACATTGATGATTTGAATTCTTTCAGTGTAAATACGAAAAAGTTCGTCACTCTACTTAATATTTGGATAACGATAAATTATTTTCTAAGATTTTTACATTAGAAAATCAATAAAACAAATTGCTTACGTACTGTACATTATATCTGAACACTTTAAATATTTTTTCTTAGTAAAACTTCTTAGCGCTTGATTCATTAATGCATATAATATTAATCAAATCTAGCGGTTTGAACATTCAGTTACTACCTTAAATTTTCTTGCTTCATTTATTTTGATAATAGCGTACAGTAAAACCTGTTTAAAACGGAAAAATATATTAGGTTTACACAGGTTTTACTGTATATAAGTTCATTTTTCAAGGTTATATTTAAAATTTTATTTATCCAGCTCGAGGATTAAATTTTTTTAATTGTATATTTTTATAACATATATATTTATTTATTTATTTAAGACAAAAACATACAAACGTAACAGAATTTATTGTTGAAATATTCTCCACTAGAACTATATAATCATGAGATAATGGAATAATATATCGTAACTATTTGACCTATAATGGAATTAAAATAAGGTTAAAATCTGTAAACATCTGAAGGTGTAAAATGAATTACTCTGGAAGTGGTTAGATATAAATATGAAATTTCTCCCTATATAATTAATATGACTAACTTCTAGTAAATTATGTAATGCGGCATTAATTTAATTTATTATGACTAATATAATTAATTTCGGAGATTACAGTCACACTATAATAAATATTGAGTTAAGGATTACTTATATTTATCTTCTTTTCGATCTATCGATCTTGTTTATAGTCTCAGTTAAATAATTGTGACCTTAATATGAATAATAATTCCAAATTTTTAATATTATTTTTCTTTGTAAAGGTAATNTTGTAGGATGTCAGCAAGTACTAGATACGCATCTAATGCCATTTTCAGAAAAACCTGAAAGTAAATTTTTTCAATTTCATCAAGATAATGGAGCCATTCATAATGTAGAATCAACTTGGCACAAAATCACAGATGAGGAGAGGAAAGTCTTATTAAAACAATTCCAGACAGATTTCTGTGTATATATTGTCTACTAGGACCTTGTTTATTAATTAACAGGACTTATTATACTCATAAAGTTTCTGATTAGCAAAGAGAGGAAATTGTAATTAAAAGTCAAAACAAAATATTTTTATTTTCATCTGTACATTCTTTTTGTGTATTTCAGACCTGAACAATATATACACAGAAATATAAAAATTAAGGACAAAGAGAAAAAAATCATTTAAATGTTCAAGTGGCTTTATCATTTTGGGACAATATTATCCTACATATAATTGTTAAAATGCATTTATTTTTTATTTTATTAATTTATTTCATATTAACATTATTTTTTATATGCTAAACATTATTATTCTGTTAACTTCAAAGTCATTGGGTCTTGAAATTTATTTGTATAATAGTAATTAGACAAAATGCAAATATTTATTTTTCTATACTGTGTAAAAGTTTATAGTAAAATATTATTTTTTTAATAATTATTTCTCATAAATGCATACAGGTATATAATGGTTTTTTTATTTGTCAAACCTACACATATGTACTTTGAAATTAATGTAGAAAATTTAATAAGTAATGGCTTTTATCTATGTAAAAAGCTACTTGGATTTGAAATTCAAATATTTTAAATGAAACTGAATGTATTTTTATTTATTATCTTATTTGTTGTAGAGTTTATCTCAATCGTCTTATAGTATTAAGCTTCTTTAAAAAAAAATTTGTTGTGCTACTCCCCATATTCTGCTGCCTAGTTTGCCTATATGGTCGCACTGCCTCTGCACATGTTCTAAATAGGAATAATTTAATTTTTTTGTTTGCTTAACCAATTTTTGATGTTTCACTAATAAGAACTAGTTCTAATTATAAAACTGATGAATGAAATTATTATTATAAGAAATAATGTAATATTTATATATATAAGTTACACAGACTAATCTAGTGTAAAAACTTAATACTGATAGTCAATGGCTGTGGTGGTTAAAGCACCTACCTACCACTCTGAGGATCCAGAATTGAATCTGGATGGACAAGTCATTGGCACACAAACAATCATTTCTTTCCCTTCATATTTGTTGCAAAGAACATTACAAAACAATAATAAAGAATTGAATGTTGGTTTATTATATTGTATAATAATAATAATTTTATCTATCAAAAAACAGTAATAAAATAGAAATATAAATGAATTTTAATAATGTTGGTATAGGATAACTTGTCCCAAAATGATAGAGGCATCTCTGCTTCAGCAATTAAACTGCAATATGCAAAATAGCATACAGGATAGTATAAAATACAGGACAGAATTAGATTAGGGATGAATTTCTACAAAATATAGTTCTGGAATACATGATACATTAAAGGTTTCACCAAGGGAAGAGGAAAATAGTTCTCATGTTGTGGCAAATTATATTAGTTCTAGTGGAGAATATGGAACAAAAAGTTAATCTGAAATACCATCTTGCACTGAATTACCACCAAAAGTAGCAGTTTTCAGTAAACTTAGCAATTCTCCAATGGATCCAAAACAAACTACATCTTGTCTAACCGTAAATGTGTCAAAATCAACAATATACATAGTTATGAAATCATCTAATCATCTGCAAAATAAAAAAATGAAACAAATTCTGCCTCTAAATATGAGCCACAAAGAGAAGCCTTTGGCATGGGCTAAACATCACATGATGTAAACTGAGAAATGGCAAGAAGTTATTGGTAAGATATTAAGAAATATAAATTAATTTACTCAAAGCAGCAGCAAGAGACTGGAAGTGTTATGATGTAGTGTGCATTTGAATGGGGAAGTATGGCAAATCTAGCTTTCATTCCTGGTCACATTTATATTGTAGGATGTCAGCAAGTACTAGATACGCATCTAATGCCATTTTCAGAAAAACCTGAAAGTAAATTTTTTCAATTTCATCAAGATAATGGAGCCATTCATAATGTAGAATCAACTTGGCACAAAATCACAGATGAGGAGAGGAAAGTCTTATTAAAACAATTCCAGACAGATTTCTGTGTATATATTGTCTACTAGGACCTTGTTTATTAATTAACAGGACTTATTATACTCATAAAGTTTCTGATTAGCAAAGAGAGGAAATTGTAATTAAAAGTCAAAACAAAATATTTTTATTTTCATCTGTACATTCTTTTTGTGTATTTCAGACCTGAACAATATATACACAGAAATATAAAAATTAAGGACAAAGAGAAAAAAATCATTTAAATGTTCAAGTGGCTTTATCATTTTGGGACAATATTATCCTACATATAATTGTTAAAATGCATTTATTTTTTATTTTATTAATGTTTTTGATAAATTTAATTATTATATGATATCAAAATAAACCAATACTCAATTTCCTTCTATTGTTTTTGTAACATGCTAATTATTTCTTTCTTAATATCATTATTTCATAGGGCTCTATAATTTCAGAGAAGACTATGTATAACTCAGCAAGACTGATGTCATGATGAAGCCAAATTTTGAAATTCTATCAAATGGGATATTCCAGGTCAAAATTTGCTATGTAAAGTCTATGGTCTGATTGCTGGTTATAAATCTGGTCGCTCACTGCATGTCAGTTGAGTTTATGATTGTTGTCAATTTACATTAATCTCTACAACAAATTTTTATTTTGATCTTTTCATCAGGAATTTAACATGAATGGTATTGTGATAAAATCATTTTTCAAAACATGCATATGTGTGCTTTAACAGGTTCTAGAGTTGGTAGGCTACAGGTCACAGATGTGGATGTTTTAAATGTCTCTTGATGTTTTTGTTGGTTATGATGTTGAACATTCAAGTCCTACCTCAAACTTGTAGATTTTTAACTGCTTCAGACAGAACATTAAAAGTATGTTACCAGATCTATTTTTTCATGTCAGGCCAAAACAGTAAAACCTATGCTGCTGAGCTCAGTTTCATTTTCCCAGAAAATACCTAGTGTAAAAAAATTAATGTAACAAGTGTCTCTAGTTCAAGACTAATAACCATGTAATATTATGTGATTAAGAGCTTACTCATAACTTTTCAGAACTAATGTAAAATCTATTTGTCATGAATTCTGTAGAAGATACTAATTGACCAATATGATGAATTTCATACCAAATACTGTATAATAAAATGAGAAGACACTAAGTTCAGCATTACATTTTATTATGAAGATACTAAGACAAACAAGAAGACAATCAGTAGAAATCTTTTAAAAATTAGTGATTCTAATTGCATTGAATTATTTTTGTAACATGGGACTATATGAATTGACATAATTTCGTGCTAGTGATTACTTGATATGTAGTCTATTCTAATAATTATTTTATTATTTATTTTATTAATTTATTTCATATTAACATTATTTTTTATATGCTAAACATTATTATTCTGTTAACTTCAAAGTCATTGGGTCTTGAGTCGATGAAGAAAATTTTTCATGTGATTTCTGTGGTATCCACTATCTTCATTCAAAATTAATAAAGAAAGGTGACTGAATAAAATGTGAAAAGTGTGAGTCTGGTACTAAGAAATCTGAGTATTATGAGCTGTATGTCACAAACAGGTTTGCTATAGTAAATGTATCTAAATAATGAAAAAGGAAATAACAAATAATTTCATTTATTTTTAAGTGAAAGTTTTCTATGATCCAAATAACCCACAATTTTTGAGCTTTCCTATTTTTGTACCACTTATAATTACTCTTGTTCTACTTTTAATAAAAAAAATGCTTAAAACTAATAATCTCATCATTTATTACTTATATAACTATAAGCTTGTAAGGAGTCAAAGCCAAATCATTATTTTATATTTTGGGTGTTTTTTTTAGTTATTACTATTTTCTTATTTGGAGGCTTTTTGTGTTTTAAGAATGGAAACTCCCAAAACAAAAAAAGAAAAAAAAAACTAAATTAAAAATTTAAGAACATTCACTAATGTTCATTACTGATCCCATAACACTCAAAAATATGTAAATATTTTTGTGTTATGGGTAAATAGTGTGGCATCACATTTTTGTAACATCATCAACTACCAGACAGAACATGATACACTAATCCAAAAGTGAGGTGTAGTTTCTGAAAGTAAACTTGAGCACGAGTCTCAGTGGTGGTCTGCTTTTTGACAGAGAATTGTCTGGCAGTCCGTTTTTGGGGACGGTTAGGCACTTAACTTGTAAGAAATGTTGTGTAGTGGTTTTTTTCTTTTTCAATTAGATTTAGTTTATTCTGGTGCAATTAGATTAAAGTAGTTGTAAGTCTGAAGTTGGCAAAAGCCTTTTCTTTTTATAATTGATGGTTTTTCTTATATATAATTAATTTTGGTGTTTGACTAGCTGAATAATATATTTATTACTATTAACTTCTTGTTTATATATTAATTTGACTTAATAAATATCATTGATTTGTGCTTACATACATGTCATTTTTTATTTTTTTTCTTTCCTTTTCCATTGGGTCACAGAGAGTATACTTCCTGTGACTTAAATCTAGGCATGGTACTTGACTGAACCCTAATTTTGTGTAACATTGCTTTTTCAGACTTAATTTTGATCAAATGGTATGTTACAGGCTTTTCAATGGAAATAAGTAGATCTGATAAAACAACATTCCCTGTCCAGAGCAAGCATAACTCTGAAATGATACAAATAGTCTCACTTTACACTATATTATTTCCATTGTAAACCAGATGACTACTTTATAAATATTAATTTTTCTAAATGCAATTTTTGATATTTTGAAGACTTTTATAAAAAATTTTTTGAATTTATACTGCAAAATTCAAAATGTTACACTTTAAATATTAAATCTTACCACAATATGTTGGAAGAGCCATGAACGCATAACACTAGTCGCATGTTTTGGAAGAACACCCCGTTTTTGTTTCTTTTTGCTCAGCAGTTCTTCATCTTCATCACCACTTTGAATTACAGGCGTTCTGGGTGCTACAAATAAAAATTTTTACTTTTAATTTAAAATAAATTGCTAACATAAATTTTATTTTGAGAAATATTATTTTGTGCATTTGTTCAATGTCATGATATCATTGAAATGAATTATTTTATAATAATTGATGTAAACTTTGATTTCTTGCAAACAGAAAAGTATTCTTAAAACTAACAATAGCTTTAATGTAACTACTAAACTACAATATAATCATATAATAAAAATTTCCTAATTAAACATTGACTATATTAATTTAAATCTAAAGAAAATTGATTAAATAAGTTATAATCTTATACCTTTACCTATAGGTTGCACCCTTGATTCTTGAGTAAGCGATGGACTGGCTCCAATCTGTGATAAAGGAGTACTTCCATGAATAACATGAGCTGCAGAATTTGATTGCTGTATATGAGCACTCTGTATCTAGAAAAATTCTCCTTTAAATCATTCTGTATTTATTATTATTAACACACATCATGAATTTCTTTAGTATTCAGTGAAAACTTTTAATATTAAAAAGAGTGGCTAAATAACTTGAGCAAATAAATGAATCATCATTAATACAAGTTATTTATACATATATTTCAATATTCTTTTGTCATTATGTATTGTAATTTATAATTTAAGTTCATTAAGACACAATGTAACAAAATATTTTCTACATTATTTATTGTGTAATTAAGTTTTTTTTTTTTTTTACAAAGTTTCATATTGTTATAATAAACAACATATATTAATATTATGCTAAAATTCTTCATTAAATTTAATTAAATTCAATTAGAATATATTGAGTTAGTAACAATTACAAATATCAACACCTAAAATCTGACGGTTATATATCAAAGCCAAATGATTGCTGGATTATATATTTCTGCTACTATTAATAATTAAATGCTAAGAAAAGAATTGGTCCAAAGCAAGACTTGAATCTATAACTCCCACTTATGCAGTTGCATTGCCAGTTACCTGGACCCTCACATCCAATCTTCAGTTCCAGGATTTATTAATTTAGATATAATTTAGATATAACCATACTCACTTATGGTACCAGCTGGAGACAAGTCAGTCCCCTTAGCCTATAACTCCCACTATGGCATTCAGTGAACTATCACTTCTTTTCTTCCAGAACCTTCTAAATTAATTATTAAACCATTAATTTAATTATAATAATTAAATTTAGCAAGAAATGGAACTGAATACCCACCTTGAGAGCCAAATTATTTAGCATTTAATTATTAATAATAGTAGTAATATAGCCTAATATAATCCGACAATTGTTTGGCTTAAATTTTTATAATTTAAACTAAACAATTGTCAGATTATAGCAACTAAATATCAATATTTTAAAAATTATTGTTCTCAATATTCAGTTCTAAGAATATAATCACATTATATGTCTAATAATTATAATATGAACAATATCAATTTGATATTAAACAAATTTCTCAATCTAGCAATAATTTTTTATATACTTTAATAATTTTTTTATAATATTTTTATATTAGTCACAAATTAGAATTTTTTCAGTATTTAGGTCAATTAATATGTAAAATGTTATTTTCTTTATTGTTTTATTATAATTATGTATGCAAAATATATTCAATTAAAGTAAAATATATATATGTATATACATAGTTTTTTAATTTTTATAGTATATTGTCTTTACTCTATTTTAATTATGAATTTTTAAATTATGCTACATTTACCATGATTTTACATATCATGTATTTTTATTCTTTGTAATTTTTTGGTTTTAATTGTACTTCACTGTTGAATTTTTTGTTAATTGGGGAGTGGACCAATATTAGAATCATTAATTGTATGCTGAATAGTTCCTGAACTAAACATGTAATCATTATTGTTTTTAGTCTTTTAGTTATTAGTGTTTGTTTATGGAGATGACCATCAATAATCCTTTAACAGATTTTGCCCATTATGGAAATTTTATACTTAAGTTGAGTAATTAAAAATAACTAAAATTTAAATTATATTCTGTTATAAAAAGTTTAGATTATTACATATTTTCATTAAAAATATGTATAGTAAATAAAATATTAAAACTTAAAACATACCTGAATTGGTTGTGCTACAATTCCTTGAGGAGTATGAACCATTTGATACACAGTACCACCTGAGACTATTTGGCTAGGACTTAATGTTGCCATAGAAAGAGCACTTTGGGTAACTCCAGATTGAATGACCAGATTACTCATTGAACCATTACTTGTGACAACCTATAAATTGAATTTAATCATCAAACTCCTTTGAAATTCATTTTATCATTGTAATTTGAAATATCTAGGAATATCAACTATATTGTTATATACAGTGTGTCAGTCAAATGAAGACCTTAAAATGTGTATAAAAATTTTAAAACTTGGATAATTTTTTGCAAGTTGGAAAAATTATTGAAGGTCATCTGGAAAGTGGGTAAATACGTGGTAGCATGTGGCTGATTACATTTATGACATCAAAACAACAGTTTCAAGATGCCTGCCCCACTCAAGTTGTACAGCAGGGAGGAGCAATGTTCTATTATCAGATTCTGTAATAGTAAAGAAATGAAAACAGTAAAAATTCATAGTAGAATTGAAGGCTTAATATGAAAGGGCATGCATGCCTCTCCAAGTGTAAAGTGGTGTAGAAAAATTGAAAATGGAATGACTTCTTTGGCTGATACTCTCTGCAACCGAGCTCACTGAGTTGTCACACCATAAGTCACTAGCTAAGTTGAATGGAAAATTGTCATGTTACAGTGGATGTGGTAGCTGAATTACTGAATATCAGTCATGGTTCAGCACACCGTATCGTTCACATTAAACCTTGTTACAATAAAGTGTATATAAGATGGATGCCACAAATTGACTGTCAAGTTGAAAGTAGGTGTTAGCATGTTTACTGAACTTCTATAACACTATAAGGAAGAAGGTAATAACTTCCTAGTGAGGTTTTTCACAGAAGATGAAACTTGGATTTACAACAAACAACCAGAAAGCATGTGGGCAAGTAAAGATGGCACGATTCCTTCTCTCTCAAACCAAAAAAGAATTGCAGGAAGCCATCTTCAGGAAATGTAATGCTGTTTCATCTGGAACAAATAAAGTGTGATTTTGCAGCTGTGTAGATCTTTAGTATTCCTGAGGAGTGAGTATATTGTCAGGCTCCTCTTAAAAGCCAAGGTGAAATTGTTGAGTCTGGCTAGAGACACTAGTATAGAGTCTCTCTCTGTATGGAAGCACTAGTATCCTATAGCGTGTCTCAAAAGTATATAATAAACATTTTACTGCTTTTCAGACTTGTTAGGTTAAATTCGTAACAAGTCTGAAAAGCAGTAAAATGTTTATTATTTTAATTTATTATTATTTTATTATAATTTAAGAAAACTGTAAATGATTTCATTTATATATGCAAATTACTTTACACTAATTTTTGATAATTTCAAAATTAAAGATATTATATTAATAATTTAACAAAAGAATATATTTTTTGGCTGTCCAAAAAGTATAGATAATAAAACAAAGTTGCAAAATTTGAAGCACGAGAAATTTAAAATTACAAAAATAAAAATATATGACATCACATAACACTTTTACTTTGTTGTCAAGTAGTAATTTCAATATTGAATCAAAACTTTCCAAAATGCCACATAAAAGAGTTTAGTATGGAAAAAATTGCATGAATATGGAAATTAAAAGCAGAAGACTGTAGTGTCAAGGAAATTGCTGTTATAATAAACAGATTTACTCCTGAAGATTATAAAATTTTGGGAAAATCTAAACATTGATCAGGAAGACTCAAAATTACATCTCAAAGATGATAATTGAATTGTGCACTTTGCATCACAACAGGATAAATCAGTTTGTCAAATTTTGTGTGAAAAAGGATTAAAAATATCAAAAAGCACTGTTCATTGAAGAATTTCAGTAGCTCCACATATGAAATTTGCTGCTTTGATGAAAAAAGCAATCACTAACAAAACAATGTTAATTGGCAAGAATGCAGTGGGTTAAAGATCTCATGCTGTGGAATTCCCAATGATTCTCAGTTCTTTTCAGTGATTAAAAGAAAGTTAGTTTTGATGGGGTCATTACTGGCATGATATTAGGAAAGAAGAATGTAATTTTTCAGCAGATCACAGGGTGATAGGTGGTTCTGTTATGGTGTGGAACTAGTTTGGATTTAATGGATTATAGATTTTGTGATTTTAACCTGTCCTGTGGTATTCCCAAAATATTTCAGATGGAAACATAACAATGACCAACGAACCTGAGATATCTCGTTTCTGCATCAGAACATTTTTGACACTAGATGTCGCTAGGCATCATAATTTTTATATTAAAACCAACTTCCAAAATATAATTATTTTTGTTTTTACATTTTTTAATATGTATATTTCATTCATGCAAAATAAAAAATTAATTTTGAATGATACAAAAGCCACGATTATTTTTTTCTAAACTGTGTAATTTTTGTTAGGCTTAACATCAACAAAAATTCAACATGAAGTGACACACATTAGAGAAAATTTCAGCATAAAATAGGTTAACTGGTAGCCAGATATCTAAAAGTTATCAAGAAGTACTAAAAAACAATTTATTAACTATTGGAGAAAAAATTGGAGGACCTAATTGGATTTTCCAACAGGACAATGCCAGTTCTCATTGTTCACACTCAACAACTAAGTGGCTTGAAGATCATAATATTCAAGTACAGTGGTACCTCAGTATACGTCTGCTTTAGAATACGTCCAATTCGGAATACGTCCTATTCGGAATACGTCCAATTCGGAATACGTCCTGTTTGGACGAAACAAATTTTGCTCGGTATACGACATAATTCAATGATACGCGCCATCAATGAACAAGTAGCACTATCAATGTACTAGACCAGACTAGACGTTCGCGGTGCAATGGTTTATAACTTTGTTAAATTTCTTCTGATTTTAATTCGTAAATAAAATTTTATTATTATTTTTATTAATCACGAATCGCAAAAACGCAAATGAAAAGTGACAGAAAACTAAAAAAATTACTAGAATTACAATGAAACTGATAAAATAGATTGTGTGAAAAATACGAAGGTGGCATGCTTGTTTGAGATTTTAACTGTTGCCTACTGTATTCCGAGAACGACGATATGGACAATCGCGAAAAATAAAGACATTATTAAATCTGCTAATGTTGCGAAAGGGGTTAAATCAATTTCTAAACAGAGATCAAAGACATTAGATCATGTCGAGAAATTGCTTTTGCTTTGGATAACTGAAAAACAGTGCTGGAGACAGGTATTGGAAGCAATTATTTGCGAGAAAGCTAAAAAGATACACGCTGATCTCACGAAAAATCAAGCAGGAACTAGCCAGGAAAGCGAGGTGTTTAAAGCCAGCCATTTTTTTTTACACGAGAAAGGATTAATCATTTTTACATTACTTCTTATGGGAAAGGTTGGTTTGGTATACGTCCAATTCGGTATAAGTCCAAACATCAGGAACGGATTAAGGTCGTATACCGAGGTTCCACTGTAAAGTGGCCAACAAGAAGCACAGACATTAATCTGATTGAGAACCTGTGGGGGCATTCTTGATAAAAAAATTTATGCTAATAACAGGCATTTTATGACTGTTTCAGAGGTTAAAATAAGAAATCATTGAATGTAGGTTTCAAATGGATTCATAAATCTTACAAAATTAAATTAAATCAATGCCTAATTGCATTTTGGAAGCATAATAGCAGTTCTATTTCATGTTAAAACAATTTTCATCAATTTATGTTATGAACTATATCTCAAAGTTTAAACTTATCTATATTTTTAGGACATCACAAAATAAGTATTTTGTGTTTAACACTTTANAATTAAATCAATGCCTAATTGCATTTTGGAAGCATAATAGCAGTTCTATTTCATGTTAAAACAATTTTCATCAATTTATGTTATGAACTATATCTCAAAGTTTAAACTTATCTATATTTTTAGGACATCACAAAATAAGTATTTTGTGTTTAACACTTTACAATATATGACAATTACATAAACACAATTGTATAATGTTGTATTATAATACACAATAATAACCATTTGTATTGTTAAAAAATACTTAATATTTAAAAAAAATAACATATAGATTATCTATATTTTTGGGAACAGTGATCATATGATATGTAACAGTCTTGTATATAGCTATATTGGAGGGGCTGTATTGAATGATGGATTGTCAGAATCATAGTATNTCAAAGCCAAATGATTGCTGGATTATATATTTCTGCTACTATTAATAATTAAATGCTAAGAAAAGAATTGGTCCAAAGCAAGACTTGAATCTATAACTCCCACTTATGCAGTTGCATTGCCAGTTACCTGGACCCTCACATCCAATCTTCAGTTCCAGGACTATTAATTTAGATATAACCATATTCACTTATGATACCAGCTGGAGACAAGTCAGTCCCCTTAGCCTATAACTCCCACTATGGCATTCAGTGAACTATCACTTCTTTTCTTTTCTTCCAGAACCTTCTAAATTAATTATTAAACCATTAATTTAATTATAATAATTAAATTTAGCAAGAAATGGAACTGAATACCCACCTTGAGAGCCAAATTATTTAGCATTTAATTATTAATAATAGTAGTAATATAGCCTAATATAATCCGACAATTGTTTGGCTTAAATTTTTATAATTTAAACTAAACAATTGTCAGATTATAGCAACTAAATATCAATATTTTAAAAATTATTGTTCTCAATATTCAGTTCTAAGAATATAATCACATTATATGTCTAATAATTATAATATGAACAATATCAATTTGATATTAAACAAATTTCTCAATCTAGCAATAATTTTTTATATACTTTAATAATTTTTTATAATATTTTTATATTAGTCACAAATTAGAATTTTTTCAGTATTTAGGTCAATTAATATGTAAAATGTTATTTTCTTTATTGTTTTATTATAATTATGTATGCAAAATATATTCAATTAAAGTAAAATATATATATGTATATACATAGTTTTTTAATTTTTATAATATATTGTCTTTACTCTATTTTAATTATGAATTTTTAAATTATGCTACATTTACCATGATTTTACATATCATGTATTTTTATTCTTTGTAATTTTTTGGTTTTAATTGTACTTCACTGTTGAATTTTTTGTTAATTGGGGAGTGGACCAATATTAGAATCATTAATTGTATGCTGAATAGTTCCTGAACTAAACATGTAATCATTATTGTTTTTAGTCTTTTAGTTATTAGTGTTTGTTTATGGAGATGACCATCAATAATCCTTTAACAGATTTTGCCCATTATGGAAATTTTATACTTAAGTTGAGTAATTAAAAATAACTAAAATTTAAATTATATTCTGTTATAAAAAGTTTAGATTATTACATATTTTCATTAAAAATATGTATAGTAAATAAAATATTAAAACTTAAAACATACCTGAATTGGTTGTGCTACAATTCCTTGAGGAGTATGAACCATTTGATACACAGTACCACCTGAGACTATTTGGCTAGGACTTAATGTTGCCATAGAAAGAGCACTTTGGGTAACTCCAGATTGAATGACCAGATTACTCATTGAACCATTACTTGTGACAACCTATAAATTGAATTTAATCATCAAACTCCTTTGAAATTCATTTTATCATTGTAATTTGAAATATCTAGGAATATCAACTATATTGTTATATACAGTGTGTCAGTCAAATGAAGACCTTAAAATGTGTATAAAAATTTTAAAACTTGGATAATTTTTTGCAAGTTGGAAAAATTATTGAAGGTCATCTGGAAAGTGGGTAAATACGTGGTAGCATGTGGCTGATTACATTTATGACATCAAAACAACAGTTTCAAGATGCCTGCCCCACTCAAGTTGTACAGCAGGGAGGAGCAATGTTCTATTATCAGATTCTGTAATAGTAAAGAAATGAAAACAGTAAAAATTCATAGTAGAATTGAAGGCTTAATATGAAAGGGCATGCATGCCTCTCCAAGTGTAAAGTGGTGTAGAAAAATTGAAAATGGAATGACTTCTTTGGCTCTCTGTAACCAAGCTCACTGAGTTGTCACACCATAAGTCACTAGCTAAGTTGAATGGAAAATTGTCATGTTACAGTGGATGTGGTAGCTGAATTACTGAATATCAGTCATGGTTCAGCACACCGTATCGTTCACATTAAACCTTGTTACAATAAAGTGTATATAAGATGGATGCCACAAATTGACTGTCAAGTTGAAAGTAGGTGTTAGCATGTTTACTGAACTTCTATAACACTATAAGAAAGAAGGTAATAACTTCCTAGTGAGGTTTTTCACAGAAGATGAAACTTGGATTTACAACAAACAACCAGAAAGCATGTGGGCAAGTAAAGATGGCACGATTCCTTCTCTCTCAAACCAAAAAAGAATTGCAGGAAGCCATCTTCAGGAAATGTAATGCTGTTTCATCTGGAACAAATAAAGTGTGATTTTGGAGCTGTGTAGATCTTTAGTATTCCTGAGGAGTGAGTATATTGTCAGGCTCCTCTTAAAAGCCAAGGTAAAATTGTTGAGTCTGGCTAGAGACACTAGTATAGAGTCTCTCTCTGTATGGAAGCACTAGTATCCTATAGCGTGTCTCAAAAGTATATAATAAACATTTTACTGCTTTTCAGAATATTTTAATTTATTATTATTTTATTATAATTTAAGAAAACTGTAAATGATTTCATTTATATATGCAAATTACTTTACACTAATTTTTGATAATTTCAAAATTAAAGATATTATATTAATAATTTAACAAAAGAATATATTTTTTGGCTGTCCCAAAAGTATAGATAATAAAACAAAGTTGCAAAATTTGAAGCACGAGAAATTTAAAATTACAAAAATAAAAATATATGACATCACATAACACTTTTACTTTGTTGTCAAGTAGTAATTTCAATATTGAATCAAAACTTTCCAAAATGCCACATAAAAGAGTTTAGTATGGAAAAATTGCATGAATATGGAAATTAAAAGCAGAAGACTGTAGTGTCAAGGAAATTGCTGTTATAATAAACAGATTTACTCCTGAAGATTATAAAATTTTGGGAAAATCTAAACATTGATCAGGAAGACTCAAAATTACATCTCAAAGATGATAATTGAATTGTGCACTTTGCATCACAACAGGATAAATCAGTTTGTCAAATTTTGTGTGAAAAAGGATTAAAAATATCAAAAAGCACTGTTCATTGAAGAATTTCAGTAGCTCCACATATGAAATTTGCTGCTTTGATGAAAAAGCAATCACTAACAAAACAATGTTAATTGGCAAGAATGCAGTGGGTTAAAGATCTCATGCTGTGGAATTCCCAATGATTCTCAGTTCTTTTCAGTGATTAAAAGAAATTTAGTTTTGATGGGGTCATTACTGGCATGATATTAGGAAAGAAGAATGTAATTTTTCAGCAGATCACAGGGTGGTAGGTGGTTCTATTATGGTGTGGAACTAGTTTGAATTTAATGGATTACAGATTTTGTGATTTTAACCTGTCCTGTGGTATTCCCAAAATATTTCAGATGGAAACATAACAATGACCAACGAACCTGAGATATCTCGTTTCTGCATCAGAACATTTTTGACACTAGATGTCGCTAGGCATCATAATTTTTATATTAAAACCAACTTCCAAAATATAATTATTTTTGTTTTTACATTTTTAAATATGTATATTTCATTCATGCAAAATAAAAAATTAATTTTGAATGATACAAAAGCCACGATTATTTTTTTCTAAACTGTGTAATTTTTGTTAGGCTTAACATCAACAAAAATTCAACATGAAGTGACACACATTAGAGAAAATTTCAGCATAAAATAGGTTAACTGGTAGCCAGATATCTAAAAGTTATCAAGAAGTACTAAAAAACAATTTATTAACTATTGGAGAAAAAATTGGAGGACCTAATTGGATTTTCCAACAGGACAATGCCAGTTCTCATTGTTCACACTCAACAACTAAGTGGCTTGAAGATCATAATATTCAAGTACAGTGGTACCTCAGTATACGTCTGCTTTAGAATACGTCCAATTCGGAATACGTCCAATTCGGAATACGTCCAATTCGGAATACGTCCTGTTTGGACGAAACAAATTTTGCTCGGTATACGACATAATTCAATGATACGCGCCATCAATGAACAAGTAGCACTATCAATGTACTAGACCAGACTAGACGTTCGCGGTGCAATGGTTTATAACTTTGTTAAATTTCTTCTGATTTTAATTCGTAAATAAAATTTTATTATTATTTTTATTAATCACGAATCGCAAAAACGCAAATGAAAAGTGACAGAAAACTAAAAAAATTACTAGAATTACAATGAAACTGATAAAATAGATTGTGTGAAAAATACGAAGGTGGCATGCTTGTTTGAGATTTTAACTGTTGCCTACTGTATTCCGAGAACGACGATATGGACAATCGCGAAAAATAAAGACATTATTAAATCTGCTAATGTTGCGAAAGGGGTTAAATCAATTTCTAAACAGAGATCGAAGACATTAGATCATGTCGAGAAATTGCTTTTGCTTTGGATAACTGAAAAACAGTGCTGGAGACAGGTATTGGAAGCAATTATTTGCGAGAAAGCTAAAAAGATACACGCTGATCTCACGAAAAATCAAGCAGGAACTAGCCAGGAAAGCGAGGTGTTTAAAGCCAGCCATTTTTTTTTACACGAGAAAGGATTAATCATTTTTACATTACTTCTTATGGGAAAGGTTGGTTTGGTATACGTCCAATTCGGTATAAGTCCAAACATCAGGAACGGATTAAGGTCGTATACCGAGGTTCCACTGTAAAGTGGCCAACAAGAAGCACAGACATTAATCTGATTGAGAACCTGTGGGGGCATTCTTGATAAAAAAATTTATGCTAATAACAGGCATTTTATGACTGTTTCAGAGGTTAAAATAAGAAATCATTGAATGTAGGTTTCAAATGGATTCATAAATCTTACAAAATTAAATTAAATCAATGCCTAATTGCATTTTGGAAGCATAATAGCAGTTCTATTTCATGTTAAAACAATTTTCATCAATTTATGTTATGAACTATATCTCAAAGTTTAAACTTATCTATATTTTTAGGACATCACAAAATAAGTATTTTGTGTTTAACACTTTATAATATATGACAATTACATAAACACAATTGTATAATGTTGTATTATAATACACAATAATAACCATTTGTATTGTTAAAAAATACTTAATATTTAAAAAAAATAACATATAGATTATCTATATTTTTGGGAACAGTGATCATATGATATGTAACAGTCTTGTATATAGCTATATTGGAGGGGCTGTATTGAATGATGGATTGTCAGAATCATAGTATTTACTATTATTATTAAGGGTGTATACTATACCACTTATGGACCACCAATTTAACAGAGCATTAGAATATGTGGGGGCCATGAAATGACACATCACAACAAGCATACAAGAGCATCAAAGTTCAATAAGTAGGACCTTAAACATCACTGTTTTAGCTACTTATGCCAGTGATCCTGAAATTCAGATACCCAAATTCTACATTGTACACAATAGAACTTGACTCAGATTTTTGAAGCTGTTAGAAATATATAAAGCTGCTGTGAGAAACACAGCCATTAATTTCAAGGATGCAAATTCATTTACATTAGCTTGGAAGACCTGCTTCTCTTCATAATCATGCAGTCTATGAGTTTATTGAGGTGCCCACTCCACCAATCAACAAGCCTGCATATTTTGAATTGAGGTGTTCCATCTCAAGTAGTTTGGATTTAGAATGTTAAGCATCAAGATGCCCATTTAATATGGAGAAAAATATTCAATAATATGAGTTTCTTTTACTATATCTGCTGGTTTTTGGTTTTTGTGATGGTGGTTTATTTAAAGTTAACCAGATTTACTAATCCTTATTTGCAGAGATATATTTTTATTTTGATTGAACCATTCAAATTCTTCTCTGATCCTATTCTTTCAATGGGTCTCTCAATCTTTAGCCATTTCTTAACCTTCAAGAAATCAGCTAAGCTGCCATTTTTATCTGATGATAAGGAAATGCATTTCCACATGCATATACTGTACATAGATGGCCTGAACATACAATTAAATCTGTATTGTAAAAATGACATATAATCCACAAATATTTATAGATGTTACTATTAATGCATTATTATAATGTGTATCCTGTTATTAAAGGAAATATGCTAATACAATATAATAATATACAACTTTTAGATTAAAAAGAAACTATTTATTACAGGAGATATTTAGATATAAGAAGAATATAAAGAGAATGGAGATATGTTTCTTATAATGTATGAGGAAAAACTTTTTCAATTAAGATGTTCAATTGAAAATTTCACATTAACATATAAAAAATTGTTTATAGATGCTTTATTACCTGTACTTGTTGAGGCTGACTACTGCTTGCTCCACCATTTGAATTTGAATTAGAAATGGCACTATTTAGACCAGGATAATCTGGACGTAATAAATTTTCACTCTGCATTTTGTTCTTTAGACATGCAATGTATCGACTACAGAAGTCTTTGCATAATTCTTGAACCTTTTCAAGTTCTAGAAGGTGAATCCGTAAAACCTGAATAGCTTTAACCATCTGTAAAAAAAGCACTTATATTGTTAAAAAAATGAACTAACTTTGGACTAAACTGATTTTAAATTTATTTTAAAGTCTAGCAGAAAATAAAATGCTCTTTAAAATTTCATTAAAAAAAAATTTACTTAATTGCCTGTGGGCAGTTACATGGAAGTTTCATGCATTTCAACCACACCTGTTACAGAAAAGTAAAATGGATTTAATCACACTAGATATTTTCCATCATAAAGTATTTGGTCCAATGGGGAGACATGATTAAAATTAACAACTGTTAAATCGTCTAAAATTTTTATCTATATATTATATATATGTAATATATGGATGAAAATTTTAGATGTACAGTAGAGCATCGATTATCTGACTCAATTGGGGACTGGGGTTGGTCGGATAACTGAAAAAACAGATAACCGAAAAATATGAAAAAATACATTATTAGTATAGTATATTAGTATATCTCATGTAATTAGTATATTAGTATATCGCTATTAACCTACTTTACGCTGAATTTTCATTGATGTTAAGCCTAACAAAAATTTTTTTAAAATAATAATCGTCGCTATTGTATCATTAAAAATTAGAAAATTAAGCCTTGTTTAAATACTGGTTCCCTTTCATGGTCGAGCCATGTTGCCAGCTAAAACACGTAAAAATACTATTAAAGTATCCAAGACATACCAAATATTGTAGCGCCACATCACTAGCGGACATTTGAATTTGCCGACTAGAACGGTCGGTTAACCGATGTGACGGTTAATCGGGTGTCGGATAATCGATGCTCTACTGTAATTTATAATATGTATATATACATACATACATACACACACATATTATAAATTTTTCATTTTATCATGGTATTCTCTCCAACACCAATCATATTAATGACTTTTTTTCCTTTACCAGCTAAGTAGTTGCAAGCTACCAGCTTTTAGTTGCAAGCTACCATAACTTTTGAATAGAAAACATTTCCTATTGACTATTGTTTGATGACATCCACCCATAGGCATGATTTCAATGTCCGTAAATCTAGGCAATGGTCTGTATGAATTTGTTTTGCTAGACAAAATTGTATAATGGAAATTAGCTTTTATGATACTATGGTATTAAAAGAAAAACATTTCACTTAATTACTCATAGGTGTTTAAGTAAGCAATGGGCAATTAAGTGAGAATTTACAATAAATAAATTTACAAAAGAAAATAATTTTTAAAAACTATACATATTTCAAATGAGTTAAAACAAATTTTAATTCTTTCACACCCAATTTTCATCAAACAGAATAGAAAATCAATAAATTAAGTAAAAAAAAAACATCAGCTAAGTAAATAAACTTACTAAGCCATCGACTTCTGGATCCTCACTGAAAAAGGGCTTTCTATCTCTTTCCTGATGCTGTACAAATGCTTGAATATCCATATTAAAACTCTCTGAAGAAGGAACCTCAGCACTTTGAGTAGCTAATTCACATTTTTCAAATAATAGAGCAAGCAAAGGGAAAAGAGGATGCCTGAAAACAAATATGAGATAGGTTATCAGTTACAGATATTGGTTTATTAGCTTTTTGTGTATTTAATGACTTATAAATTATATATTATAGATGATAAAAATAAAAAATTTTGTATTTATATCCTAAAAAAATAAATCTTTGTTGACATGTTCTATTTGCTAAATGTTTTGTATGAACATCACATTAAAATTATTTTATGTAGTTAGGTATTTAAATCCAGAATGTTCTTTTCAAAGAAATATCAAGTTAATACAAAATAATAATGAATAATCAAATGATTTGGCCAGATCAATTATTGGGCTAGAACTTTGTTAATAAACACTATATAAGTATTAAATAATTTTGACTAAAGATAGGCAATTAGAGTGTCATCTTGTATAATTTAATAATCAGAAATAAATTCATTAATTTGAACTAATCTGGATGAAAATTTAATTCTGGAGAGGGACTAAAACCTACAAATTCTGTTTATTGTGCAGATGTATTGTCAATTATACTGCCCCGACCTTTTGTAGGATCCTTACTTCCTGACAAATTAACATAATGTAATCATATGGATCACTTGCTGTGCTGACTGGGGAGAACTATGTATGTACGATGGCCCTCCATGGCATTCATTCAGCCAACTTAAGCTTTTACCATGACATGGTGTGTGTGTATATGTTACTGTGAAAGACCAAAATTAAAGAATGTCAATATCCTCCGGTGAATGTTAACACATACAAAATACGTCAGTAAAAGACTGAATATTTGGTTATATTATTATACATTCCAACAATCGCCGGTGTATGTTGACAAGCACAAGCTTTGGTGGAAGTCGAAACGACACCTGAGAAGCCGATGTCGACAGAGAGGCAACAGTCTGTCACCAAATTCTTCACCGTTTCCTTCTGCTCAAATTGGTGATACCATACAAATACAAGTCCCTGATGTCAACTGTGGCTGTACAGATGCCCGAAATGTGTTGGAGGTTGTTGTTGGAATAGAAGACTCTGACTTTTATAAATTAGCAAACAAAAATGGTACTCTCAAGTAGCTTTATACCCATAATCAGTTCGTAATTTGTAAAGAAAAGTTACTTTCCATAGATGAAATTTCTTCTCAAGAAATATCGCCGAGAGAAGCAGCTGCAGCTAATTCAAAAAGTGGAGGGCAAAGCTATACACACTGTCATTGCAAAAAGAAGTGTTCCACGAATAAATGCAGTTGTAAAAGCAAGGGAGTTTTGTGCAAATCAAAGTGCCATAACAGTTTAAGTTGTTGCAATAAATAAGATTGTATAATGTTAATCACATAATTTATGTGTAAGTTTATTATTGTATTATTTTCTTTAATGATTTAGAATGTACTGTTCATTTTAGGTTCAACAGTTTATTTACATGTGCTGTTACTAAGCTTTCTCCTGTTTTGACATATTAAAAAGTTGCATTTTTGTCTTAATGTAATAAAAATATTTTTATTCAACATTCACCATCAGTGCATGCTAAATGTTGACATTTGCCGGTGTAAGTGAGAAATAATGATATTTAGCAAATATTTCATACATACACAAAACGACTGTGTGAATGCTGACATTCACCGGAGAATGTTGACATTCATCAAATATTGGTCATTCACAGTAACATATTTACAGGGTGATCAGAAAATGTCTAGCCAAAATTTAAAGGGGGTTAGAGGGGATGAATATAAAAGGATTCTTCGCAGTACAATTCTTGTCTGGAAATGCTGCGTGAAGGTGGTAGAAGGTGCTTGTAGGGCAGTCGAAACAAGCTGGCAATGCGGAAAGCTGTCATTCCCACCTGTGATTTCATACAGCATGCAGCGCTTTACGAATGCTGAACTAGCAGATATACATCTGTATGGAACTGCAAATGGAAATGTGAGAGCTGCGTAAAGGTTGTACAGGGAATGATTTCCCAACAGAGAAATACTGAATCATCAAACTTTTGAGCGAGTGCACAGACAGCTTTGTGAAAGCGGGTCCTTCAATGCCAGCAGACATGATGTGGGCAGGCCTTGCTCAGCAAGAACAGTGCAAGTGGAAGAAGATGTACATGAAGTCAAGCACAATCCTTTCACAAGCATGAGAGCTGTTTCCCATAGACTGGGTGTGAGACAGTCACTTGTATGGGAGATATTGCATGCTGAAAGTATGCACCCATACCATTTACAAAGGGTGCAGGCATTGATATAGGCAGATTTTCCTCTCTGTGTAAACTTTTCACGATGGTACTTGCAACAGGCTACTGTACAGCCCGATTTCCCTCCATATGTGTTAGTCATGGATAAGTCAACTTTCACTCAAGAGTGTGTGTTTAACAGTCACAATGTTCATGTTAGGGAATATGACAATCCACATGCGACAAGACCTCATGTTTACCAGCAGAGAGTTAGTGTTAATGTGTGGGCGAGTATGGTGCACGAATATGTGATTGGGTCATTCATCCTACCTCATCACTTGGATGACCTGAAATACCTCATCTTCTCACAACAGGTCTTGCCCGAACTGCTGGCCGTTGTGCCTCAATGAATCCGGAGACATATCTGGTTCCAGCACAATGGAGCCCAGCACACTTTAGCTGTGCCAGCACACCATGTTCCCTGCCACCACAATCATCAGATCTGTCCTGCTTGGATTTCTTTCTGTGAGGCCACTTGAAAAGCATCATCTATGATACCCCTGTGGACTCCAACATCAATCTCATTGCCAGATTGGCTGTTGCTGCTGGAGATGTGCAGGACATGGCTGGTGTTTATGCTAATGTACCATGAAGGGGCAATGTGAAGCTTGTATTATAGTTGGTGGTTGCTCTTTCGAGCATTTGCTGCAAACATTGATTTAATAAGGGGCTTGTTACATTTGTCTGTGTCTCTTTCCTTTTATGTCTCCAGTTTCTTTACACTCCAGGACTTTAACGTGGTTCCGGACAAGCATTGTACTGTAAATCCTTTTATATTCATCCCCTCTAACCCCCTTTGAATTTTGGTCAGACATTTTCCGATCACACTGTATATAGAAAAACTATAATTCAGAAATGGACAGCATGCTGATCGTTTACTAGGAGAAACTTCTTAACATATAGGCGTTAAATTACAAATGAATGTTGCTAGATTGACAAGTGCTTTCAACGATAATTATTTTTGTCTTCGTCAGGTTGTTAAAAACGGTTAAACTCCTTTTTTAAATATGAATATCAAATTATTCCAACGGTATTAACGTTTTAGAACAAAAGCAATGGTAGAATGTAAGAAAAAAGAATTTAAATAAAAACACGTGCGGTTATAATGCACATGTGCTATAAGCCTCCAAACTGTGGAGCTAGATACGTTGTCTTAGGCAGTTATACAAGTTAACCCACAAAGGGGGCAAATCAAGTGTTGGGGGTGTTGCATGAATTTAGTATGTTGGTAAGGATGGCCTCCCAAATATACATGAGACTTCTGTTATTACAATGTCTTAAGAGTGACCACCTGGCCCCACAACAAGGTGTGTCGGTGTTGCAACACCATTCTACTGAGCTCAGTTTCGCTCTTGCCTGCCCTGATAGAACACTGATGTTCTGAAATATGATAAGACAACATTCTGGTTGGTGCGATCACCCGACGTATTTTCCAGTGGGTTAGAATAAACCTCAGATCTTTCTAGCGTGGAAGTAGGATCTCTGTTGTTGTAGGATCCCGTATTCCACAAATTCAGCGGTGTTCCTCCCCCAATCCCTGCTATAGTATACCATCCGCAACATTACATTAATGTGGCAATTGCCCCTTTAATCAGAAGGGCCTTTCTGTTATCTTCCAGCCAAGCTGCTATCGATACTGAGCTTAATACTATTTGCTCTGCAGTAAATGAGGCGGGCTATGCTAATGCCAAGTTTATGTACATCTTAAATAAGGTAAAGAGATCGCTTTTCCCCGCTACTACACTACATCTCCCAAAAGAATCCACAATAGTCCTTCCCATGTCACCGTTTTGTGGTCATGTCACTGTCCATATTTGCCGTATTTTTAGGCAACATGCACTTTTTCTGCCAGTTTCTCCACGGCCAAGTCTTAGGAGGTTGCTATCCAACGACAGAGATCCTACTTCCACGCTAGAAAGATCTGGGGTTTATTCTATCCCACTGGAAAATATGTCGGGTGATCGCACCCACTATATTGGTGCGACAACCAGAATGTTGTCTTATCATATTTTGGAACATCAGTGTTCTATCAAGGCAGGCAAGAGTGAAACTGAGCTCACTAGAATGGTGTTGCAACACCGAAACACCTTGTTGTGGGGCCAGGTGGTCATTCTAAGACATTGTAATAACAGAAGCCTTGTGCATATTTGGGAGGCCCTCCTTACCAACATACTAAATCCATGCAACACCCTCACACTTGATTTGCTCGCTTTGTGAGTTAACTTGTATAACTACCTAAGACAACATATCTAGCTCCACAGTTTGGAGGCTTATAGCACATGCGCATTATAACTGCACATGTTTTTATTTAAATTCTTTTTTCTTGCGTTCTACCATTGCTTTTGTTCCAAAACGTTAATACCATTGGAATAATTTGATATTCATATTTAAAAAAGAAGTTTAATCATTTTTAATGACCTGACGAAGACGAAAATAATTATCGTCGAAAGAGCTTATCGATCTAGCGACATTCATTTGTAATTTAATGCCTATATGTTAAAAGTTTCTTATAGAAAAACAAGTCCACATTATAGAAATCACAATTCTCTATGATTGTAATTCTTGGATATTGTGATGAAACTTATCTATTTTAACTCAGAGAAGGATTCATTCATTCAAACTCCACATTTACCAGAATTAACACTAATGAAAAATTCTCTCCTTGAACATTTGTTTTCATTACATTTCATTCAAAGTCAATAATGCTTATATCAAAATGCTCAGTATTTAATGAAAAGAAAATATATTTTTTCAACTAATTTGTATGCTGGCAGATTTGTTTAGAGCAACAGAAATGACTAGAAATAGCAAAACTGCTTTATATGATAAAAGGAAAATTCATTGCAATTTAAATATCACTGACATTTATTTTTATTCATTATCAGTAGCAGCTCAGTCTTAAAGGCTGTGCCCCTCTCTGAAATTTTAAGAAAAATTAAACTATTTATATAAACGAAAACATTATCTTTAGGAGATTTGATTTTTCTTTCAAGGAGTGCATATAATTTTAAATAAATTTATAATAGATGCTCAGTCTGAGTCAGTTAAACAAAAAAGTAAGCTTAGCTACAATGTTCTGAGTAGAACAGGCTGTATACTATTCAATGTACAAAGCTGCATTGTGCATTGAATATGACACAGTCTACCATACTTGGCATAATGCAGCTAGGATGAATAGTGGACAGGTCAGTGGGTAGCTGCAGTTAGTACAACCTAGAAAGTGTTTCAAGGAAAAAAATTCAAACAAATATAAAAACATTGAAGAAATATTATATACAAGTTGTTGTAAAGTAGTAGTTAAAGTGTCAAGAATATTTCTAAATAATCATTATATCAAAATCTGAAGTAAATTTCAAAATAAAACTTTATTAGGCTACATTATTCAGTTTTCCAATGATCTAATTTACCAATTATAAAATGTATTGCAAAATGTAAATGAAATATTATTATTTAACATAAATCATCATTAATACAATTTAATTTAAAACTGAAATAGATGATAAACCAATTTATAACTTTTAAATAAAATAAAAAATATATTCCATAAAATATTCTTGAAAATAAATTAACAGAAATATATAAATATTACATTTAAAGTAGCCAACATAATTGAAAAATATTTTTGAGCAGTTATTCTAATTTGAATTGAATTTTCTGACGTAGACTTAATAAATTTGTAATTAAATCTGTAAGCTACACAAAAAATAAAAAGTTATCACTTACTTATACACCGCTCTTTTATCAGCTTCAAACTGTGCCTGAGCCTGAGGATCCAATACAGGTTGAGCAGTTGGAACTCTATTCACCACACCTTGGCTAGATGTTATTTGCTCTTCAGGTACATCTGCACATTGTCCAATTATATGATGGGATGTATCCTGATATAAAGGTATAGTCTGAGGTACAACTGTGATATTTTGAGTAGTTACAGCTGAAGGTTCCTGCATTTCTCTCTATAAATAACAAAAATTATGTTCTTTAAATTTCTTGACACCATTTTGTAAAAATGTTTTTGGTCTTTGTAGACTAGTTTCAATTACAGAAAATTCTTGAAACATTGATCTAAATACTTATATTGATTCAATATAAGTAAAATATGGAATGATTAATGAATCTGATGATGGCATAAATAAAAATAACAGATTAATGTGAATTCATATGCATATTAGAACAGATAAAAACATTAACAATAAAATAAATTTTTTGTAAATGTAGCATACATTTATATAATGGCAAAACTCTATGCTAATTTATATTTCAAATCTAATATGTTCTGGTCACAGTTGTCATTATTACCAAATAATAAAAAAGTACAAAAATACACTTTACAAATATAATTTATATTTGTAATCTATAGCTTTGTTAATGCTTTAAAGGTTTTGGTTAGTCATTGGTTAAAAACTATGAAAAACACGAAAAAAGTTTTTAAAACACATTACCAGGTAAAATTAGATTAGCATTATAAAAGCAAAATTTTTTTTACAAGACTGTTTATTATAACCTAAACTATGAGATTTTGCTGAAATATTTTAGCTATGACAAAGGAATAAATAACAGCAAGATATGGAGAGTTTTAATAATAATAATATTCTTTATTTGGCATAAAAGGCTTTCGCCTGTTACAAGGGCGTTCTGATCTATAAATTACATTAATATTTTGTCACAATTATCATTTAATAACATTTTTTAACATAATTGTATAACATATAAATCATGTTAGTATTAGCTGTGTCAAAAGTCTTAAACATTTCCATCTCACTATTACAGTTAGCCAGCGGTCTCATCTGAAGCCTTTGTAGTTTATCTTTTTCATTACAGCATTCACATATAATATGAACTCTAGATAAAATTTTGGTACAATTTGGACATTTAGTTTGGGTATAGTCTATATATTTATCATTTATAATTATTCCATTTTTATTTAGCCTAATCTGTATAAGAAACTTTTTGATGTTAAAAGCTAGGTTTGTCAATATATAATTATTATTTACTGGATAACTTAAAATTGTTGCATACCAGCTTGTGTTTTTCCGTTTTCGTATGTCTTCAATGTCTTGAACGATGGAGAGCTCCATAGCTCTGTATATTATTTCTTTACTATACTGCTCCATATTATATGTGTGATCCAAAAACAATTTAATAGAGAATCCGTATTTATTTACTATTTTCGATAGCTGTATTATCCAACTTCGTCTTAAATCCGTTTCCCTTGATTTGTGATATAGCAAAAACAGTAATTTTGTTGTTATGTCTTCTGCCTTAATAATTTTTTGTAGAAACATTAAATATCTTTTTATTAATATAGTATTTAGTCTAAATCTATTTGTTTCTAATCTTAAAGCACTGTCCGGGATATTAAATTCTAACTGGAATATCTTGCGTATAAATATATTCTGTATTTTTTCGAAATTATTAAATTTATCCATACTCCAAATTGGGGCTGCATAGCCCATTGAGTTCATTACAAGCGAATTAAAAAGTTGAAAGTGTGTTCTTAAGTTCTTTAGTTTTGCCTTACAGAATAGACCAATTAGGTTATTTATTGCAATTTTTGCTTTATTTAGTGAATTTTTATAATGTTTCTCAAACGAAAGGTTTGGTGTAAATGTTATTCCTAAAAATTTTATTTCCTTAACTATCTTCACTTCTTCTTTATTAATAAAAAAGGACATGTGCTTTTTGGATA